GGCAACATTGCAGGGAGTGTCGGGACCCCAAGAAGCCACAAGTGTCTGCAGCCCAGTGGTGCCAGATGTGCCAGGGAAAGAAAGAGTCGCCTTTGTCAGCGATGTCACACTGTGCACTGTTCCCAATCACTCTGAGAAGACAAGCGTCCAATTTTCACGTCAACCCCCATTTTTGCAAATCGGTATACCTGGAAGTTTGAGATTTAAATTACCGAGAGTTCATACATTTCAGTAAAAGCATTCACGACATACCTGGGGTTTTCTTAGGTTGGTTTCCTCTGAAAGGGAAGGCTGAGCAAGTCACGCATGCTGACACTTCAGGTAGGAAGTCACGCAAAGGCAGCAGAGTGAAGGGGAAGGGACCGTGCTTCAGAAATAGAAGGAAACCAAGTCACTACAAACGGATGCCACTGTGGTTCTTGCTGCAGGAGCTCCGAGGAGCAGGACGAATTGTGTTCTGCTCTTGTCCCTGCTGATTGAAGGGGCCACAGGGAGCTGTAGCTCTCCTGGCTGCATCAATTTTTTTACTTAGGCTGATTGGAATTCTGTGACTGGGGAGAGAGCTCTGAAAGCCAGTAGCAGAGAAAGACACCCAGCATGCACGTCACTGGTTTGTTGTCAGCACCATAGAGACACCCCACCACCACATCGGAAGGCAGAGCTGGCTGAAAGGGAAGGAGGGGACATGCAAAGCATTTGCTGTAGCCCCTCTCTCACATGGGTGAGGTCTGCTTTTGCCTATGTTATGTTCGTCACTAATTCCTGAAATTTTGGGTAGGGAGAATTTATAATTGAGGATCAGTGGTGCCTGCTGCAGCTGTGTCCATCCTCCAGTGTGGTGCGGGCACCGTGTTCGTCATCCAATCTGCTTTTCTGTAAATGACTCCAGCTCTTCGGCTCTGTTACTCAGCCTGCATTTTTAAGAGCCTTCACTTTACATGCACAGGGTTGCTTTGCTTCGGTAGATACAAATTACTGAGCAGACCTGCCTAGGAATTCCTTCAGTTCACAGATGGGCTATCCTCTCCCCTATTATGTAAGCAGTAACTCTTGCTCTGATGAAATATAAAACCAAAATACAAGGCACGAAAAGTCCAAAGTGATGAGTTTTGAAAATGGAATTTTGTTGTATTTCTTGGTAGAAACATACCCCCATATGCCAGGCATATAAAAGAAGATGAACAGACACCAACTCTGCAAGTTCACTAGCTGTGCTGGTGTGAGCACCCAGTCGTTGCTCTACTTGGATCACAGACGTGTGTGTTATAGCTGTTAGAGACCCCACAGCACAGTCTAGCTGTTAGTTGTACATATAGATTCCTCTTTCTGGAGGGTAGAAACCCAATCTGCGGGCTGCTATCCTTAAAACTTAGACTTTAAGAGTCCACTTGTCTCTGTTACTTTTCTCTCATTACTGGGATACAAGATACCTGACGCACAAAATGAAGGAAGGACAGGTTTATTTATCTCACAGTTTGTGCAGATTTCAGCGCTTACTCAGCTGGCTCCAAGGCAGAGCGGCACATGGCAGAGGGCGGCTGTTCATGGCAGTGGAAAGCAGCAAAGAGCAAAGGGAGGAGCTGGGCTGAGGCAGTTAGCCAGCCTCTCTCCCTTCCTTATATTTGTGTGCAGACTATCTGCCCCAGGGTAGGTGTAGCACTCACACCCACAAGTCCAGCTTTGGATGGTGGATTCATCACAAACACTAGAAGCCTGTCAGAAAGATGCAGGGGGCTTTGGAGGGACACATAGACACAAGTCATAACACCACTCCAACAATCCGTTAAGCTGGTCACATGTGACGCAGCGGAGGAGTGAGTTCAGTGTGTGATGTGGTATTGTAGCAGCTGCTGTTCTTCCTTCACCAGACACGTGGCCGTGGGTCGGGGTGTGCTACTCCTCATGCCAACGTGTCGGAGGCCTTACAGGCACTCTCCTAGTGCTGCTGGAGGAGAGGCTGTGAAAGGAGAGAGCAGCATATGTAAGCGAGGTGCCAAGCCTCATGAGGATCATGACTGCTCCCTCTGGAATGAAATGGTCCCCATTTGGGCTTCAACGTGGCCCAAAGTGCCAAGCTGCATCTTCTTGAGGATTTCACCGTTTTACCACGTCACAGAGGCGGACTGTGCTTCTGATAAGTCAGGAGTCTGACAGCTTCAGTTGCTGGATCAGCTTACTTTGGAGGGATACCTGCTGATGGGCCTTGTGTAGACTTTACCCAAGATCCGGGAACCTTTCCTAAGTCTGCAGCACACACAACACAGCAGCAATGCAGCTTCAGAAAGCTGAAGCCGGTGAGGGTCTTCTGCCTCAGCTCTGGCTGAAGCAGATTCACCCGGCACAGCAAGGCTTTGCGCCCACAAGCGTGCGTTCTGACTGCTCATCTCTACCGAATCTCTGCCGAATTTCCACCATGCCTTTTCAGGTTTCTCCCTCACCATCAAACTTCTTCACCTCTCTCAGGAATTCATGCACCTGACTACTTTACACCAAGTGTTGCTCCATGAAAAGTGAACAAGAAGAGGAATCCTGGAAGCAGCCAGCCAGGAGTGATGCCTCTCACCACTACAGTTTAGCATGGTTCCCAAAACATAGTACTGAGTGGCAAAAAAAGTACCTTTAGTTTTTACAGATGTGGAAGAAAAGATCCTCATCACATAGAATACTGAGTCTGCCTCCTCATTTGTGCGGTTGCAGGTCTTGGTCAGGTGTCAGAGTCACAACCAACAGCACAACATAAGCACACAGTGGGAGACTCCAATCTGCATGTTCATGAGACTGACCGTGTTTTCTGAACCTGCTCAGGTATGATTCTTAACACAACAGTTCAATTACATGAGATATTGCTACTAATTAATAAGATGTTATCAATTATGGCATTATCAATCATTGTTTAAGTACAGTGCTCTCCTGAGTGTATCCATGATTTAACACTCTGGTGGGCTATATGATGAAGAAATAAGTTTGAATTTAGACCTATATTGAGACAGTGGATATGTTGGGATCATTCCCATGCAAAGGTAATTGAATGATATTCTTCCTATCAATTGGTGTGAAAATAATGACATTTGGCTCCGTACTAAATTACAGAAACTATGTTGACCTATTTCAGGAAGTATGATTTATCTATCAAAAATATGATAGTGAATATTATTTAATTATATTTATAATAATCACTAATCATCCAAGAGAATCCTCCGATTATTTTAAGCATCATAAATTCTTGAATTCTTGCAAGTATCAGTAATCTCAGTAAGAGAATTTAGTGTCAGAGACAATTTAGCTACTTAGCTTATAAAATGGCTGCTGGCAAGAGACACAGCCTAAAATGGCACCTGATGGTCGCAGGAAGATGATGAGTTAAGATGAAAACAGGCAGAATAATAGGCACCAATACAACAGCCCTGCCCTAATCCAGTTTCAAGGAACTTGAGAAGGCTGAGTAACTGGTTTTTCTATCATTCTGTTTGTTTGTGTTTTTGTGGTACCAGGGATTGAACTCAGGACCTTGCACTTCCAAGGCAAGTGCTTGCTCTACTGAGCTATCTCTCCAACCCCTAATTCTGAATTACAAAGCCTGAGTCTCCCTTGGGTGTTTGGGTGTTTCAAGTTGTTAAAACCATTTGTAATGGATGACTGATGAGTGTTGGTCTAATCCCCACACTCTGCTTATCTTTTTTTATTATTAATTTTGTTGAGAAACAAACAACAATGAGATAGCTTCAAAACAGATTAGCAGGACAGTGTCAATAATTAGTACATTGCATATTGGTGTCTTCATTGTAGTTATTCATTGTACAAGATGCAGACATGATATCCTGTCCAAACACTGTTAGCAAAAATCTTTTTTCTCATTGAATTAAGAGAAAGCAGCTGTATATGCATCCTATTTCATACATACAGATACAAAATGGTCCGGCTTGTGAGTGAGAAATTCCGCCGTGCTCTTGGGACTCTGTTTATCCTTAAGAGACACTGGGCAAAGGGCTCAGGTGGCGAGCCAGTGGCAGGCCTTATTCTGACTCCTGGGAGACTCCTCTTCTTATACTTCTACTGAACATACCACTTAGCCCGTCCCTTGTGGTAAATGGTTTCATTCTCCCACTTTGTTAGACAGGGGCCTGGCTGGCATGGTATCATAGGTTGCCATCATACTTTGGATTTTTGTGTTTGTCAGAATGGGGATAAGTTTACACCCTTGTGCTTCAATTTATAAGTCCTGATAATGAGCTGTTATGGATCCTAGGACCAATGGGAACATCTTGGAATATGCTAAAGAATTTCAAAACACTGGACAGGACCCAAAGCAGAAATAAATCTAAAAAACACAATTGCTCAAAAGAGAGCAATGCACTAGGTAAACTTCTCATTTATTACACTTTCCTTTCAAAGATTCTTCTTAGTTTATTACATTATGAGAATGAAGGTTGTGCAAGAAGCAGTAATCTTCATGAGCAGAGAAGAGAGGGCTATCTTTCCAGGGCTTTGAAGATATTTTTCTGCATGATTTCTTAGACAGAATTAGTTATTTGAGAACTAAAAAGCTAGGGATAAATGTAACTCACTAACAATTTACTCAGATATGAAAATTAAGTCTGAACTTTTAAATAATCACTTAAAATTTGTTGAAATAGAAAAAAGATAATCAAAACAAAATGAAATATGTAAGTTTCCATAAAAATTGTCCTTATAAAATTTTAAAATAGAATACACAAAATCTAAAAATATACTGAATGAATATAGAATGAATCTGGATTTAGGAGAGGACAAAATTCATAAATTCAGCAAAAGATCAATAGAAAGTCATCTAAATTCATCCAAAATAGAAGTAAATTTCACATAACTGAATGGAGTACAAATGACATGTGATATGCAGGTAAGTATTCTAAGATTTACAATTGATGTCCCAATGAACAATGAAGAAAGAAGCAACACTGCAAGTGAAAAGCCTGGGAATAGTGGTGCTCACCTACAGCCCCAGCACTTGGCAGTCTCCACAGAAGGATCCTTGTGAATCCGATACTAGCCTGGGCTACAAAGTGAGCTCAAGCCCAGCCTGAACTGCATAGTGAGGCTCTGCCTCAGGTAGCCAGAGAGTGAGTGAGAGAGTGAGAGAGCAAGACACAGAGACAGAGAGAGCGAGAAAGAGTGAGAGAGAGCGAGAGAGCAAGCCAGAGAGGATGAGAGCAAGAGAGTGAGAGTGAGAGAGGGAGAGAGAAAGCGAGAGTGAGAGCGAGCGAGAGGGAGAATGACTGAGAATATAGCCAAATCGTAAAAAGATCCCAACCTATATATTTCAGCTCAGTGAAATGCAAACAGGGAACACACACACACACACACACACACACACACATACACACACACGTACCTTAGATACCTCATAGCTAAATTTCTGAACATCAAATTTATTTTTCTCATTTGAACTTTATTGAATATCGATAATTATGTAGCAGATTAAAAATTACAGACAAATACTGAAAAGTGAAAGATATAAGATGTAGTTAGTGAATTGTAGAAAAGTATTTCTGAAATGAATGCAGGAGACATAGTAGATCACATGTTGTAAAAAATTATTTACAAGCTTAAATGAATGTAACAATAAGAATTGTCTAAAATAAACATGAAGAGGAAAGTGTTTACAGATCAGTCATATAATGGTTCACTCTGTGCCAAAATCAGGAAACTTGTATTCATATAATTAGAATTCCCACAGTAGAAGGAGATAGACAATAAATATTTAAGGATTTGAAATTTATGAATTTAGTTAAAATTATAGTACCATATTTCCAGTAAAAATGAACATTTTGCACAAGAAATGTGATTAAAATCATACCAAGATGCACAAAAATGAAATTGTCCAAAACTAATTGTAAAGACAAATATCACTAAAGCATATAAATAGAAAAAATATTAGCTACAGAAGAACAAAATTAGATAGCATCTTATTCCACATTAGAAAAAAAAAAAAAAAAGAGCAAGTGGGTAAGAAGCCAGACTTATTTACTCAAAGGACAAAAAAAAAAATCTGTCCTCATTGAATTTTACTTAGCAAATACTTTGAAAACTAAAAGTAAAATATTTTCCAGTTATACAAATTCAAGATATTCTAATTCCTCCAGGTGTAGCATAAAGAAAATAGCAAAGACCATAATCCAGAAGGCAAGAGCAGTTGCTGTATGGTCCTGGAGAAAAGAATAAAGAGCTCTCAAAGTGGTAGTTACGCAGGACTATGAAAAATATAATTATATTAGAGGAACCCGTTTAAGAAGTCATTGAAAATTTCCACAAAACAGCATCAATCTTCTGTCAGGTAATATACATATTTTTTTTGGTATGTGTGTGTGTGTAAAAGATAAGGAAGAACTAATATAAAGTCAACAGAAAATGGAAATACATTTCTTAAAATTTCTATTACAAGAAGAAATTATCATACCATGTCTTATAAGTAGATTGTAAGTCAAAGAAACAGTAAAAAACATTAAAAAATTAAATTTAAACAACATTCAGAAAATTAATTAAATATTAATTCAAGATTAAATATTTCAAAATAATATTCAAAAATTAAAATGAAATAGTAAGTCCAACTAAAAGGCCAAAATGTATTGCATCATATGTACGAATCTGTGATCAATTTAGAGTACACACACAGTATTTTATTAGATTAATATAGACAAAGTTATCAACTAGGAAAAATTTTTCATGGTAATAAAGAATTACTAAAAATAAAACAAAACAAAAATATTGGAATGGCAAATATATGACCATCACGTCTAACAGTTTGGGGATAAAATATTGCACAATGTTCCAGTATGTCATGGATATGGACAGCGGCTTACTGGTGGCCACGTGTCACTTGTGGGACTGAGCTACTGCTATTTCCCTGATATCCACCCTATAGACTCGGACAGCATCATGACCCACAGGGTGCAGGAGAAGTCCATTTGTAGAGTGTGCTGATGGAAATATTTTGCTGCTGTATATAAAAGAATAATTGAAAGACTGCTGTTGTATATCGCTTTTTCTCCTGTGTTTAATTGTTTGCCCTATTTGATGGGTTCTTTTTATTCTCATTCAAGGAGTTGTGGTCATTTTGATCCCTCTCTAGAATATTTTTTAGTAGTCTGTGTAGGCTTGGCTTTGTTGTCATGAAATTCTGTAATTGTTCTCTGTTGTGGAAGTATTTTACTTCTCCATTAAACTTAAAAGAGAGTTTTGCAGGATATATCAGTGTGGTCTGGAATTTCTTTTCTTGCAAAATTTGAACTTCTTTGTTCCATGCTCTTATTGACTTGATGTTTTGTGAAGAGGAATTTGCCATTATTCTGATGGATTTTCCTTTAAATGTGATTTGATTCTTTTCTCTAGCGGCTTTTAGTACGCTGGTCTTGTGCTGGATTTCTGTGATCTTGACAATTATATGTGTGGTTTTAATCATCTTGGTGTTATTTGGAGTTCTACATACTGCAGCTAACTGAATGTCAGATTGTTGCCCCATATTTGGGAAGTTTTCTGCTATTACTTCTGCCCATATTCTTTTTATATCATTTGTATTGACTCCTTTTTTCTCACCAATGCCTATTAGTCTCACATAGTTTATCTTCGCAACATCTTGCAGTTGTTGACTTATTTTTTCCTGCATCCTAGTTGTTTTTAAGATACCTTTTGCTATCTTTTCACTAGTTGCAATTGTGTCTTCGAGGTCTAAAACTTTATCTTCACTTGCATTCAAAAGGTTTTGCAAGCTTGTGATTGAGATTTTAAGTTTCTCTAAATCTCTTTCTCTCTGATTCATGTGATCTATTTCTTCCTATATTGTTCATTCGAGGATTCCATCATTTTTCTATTCTCCTCTAGTTTTTATCAGTGTCTTTTAAAGAAACACTTAGTAATTCTTTCATTATAGTAATCATTTCCTTTTACTTCAGAAATTATAACTGATCTGATTTCCTCTTTGCCTTTCTGCAGTTGTTTCTTTACTTCCAGCTCTCTTCTTTCAGAGATTTCAGGTATGTGACTTCCAATTTCTTCTATACTATTGTCTCCTGTATTTGTTCTGGGTGGGCTCGGAGCCTGAGAACACATTTTGTTCCTTCTCTTTGTCATTTTGTATAGCACTGTCTTCTGACTTTTGGTGTAGAGCTTTGGTAGAGTTATTACCTTAGCACCAAGTTCAAACTCATCCAGGTGGGGGTGGCTTGGTTCTCTGGGCTGTGCTCCAATTCTTCCTGCTGCAGCCCTTGGAAATAAACCTTCTGTGCCACTCTGACAATATATTCTGCTCCTGGATCAGCTGGGTGGGTCTTGCCTCTACCCTCTCTGCAGGGATTTCTGACACAGGGCTCCATATTTGGCCTGTCTGATGGAGGAACTCCGTGTACATGCCTGGCCTGAGTTCTGGCTGGAGTGGGGATCCGGAGGGCCCTGGGCATTCCCACTCACACGCTGTGCCTGGGTGTTGGCTTGAGTGAGGACCCAGAGGGCCCCGGTCTGCCCCACACACACCAGGCCTGCACACTGGCTGGAGTCTGAACATCAAATTTAAAAGGGGAAAAAACATAAATGGGCAAGAGAAAGAAACATTATATTCAAAAGAGCAGCAATAGAATTCATGCCTGACTTCTTAATAGAAACTGTACAATACATTGAACAATAGAATAATATATTTTAAAAGCACTACCTGTGTGTGTGTGTATGTGTGTATGTGTGTGTGTGTGTGTGTGTGTGTGTGTGTGTGTGTGTGTGTGTAGGGGCTTCTGTCCTTGACCTCCACAGCTAGTGAAAGTATTCTTCAATAGTGGAAGGCAAATGAAGGCTTTGAGGTGCAAACAAAATCTGAGAAATTTTATTACCAAGAGATTCGCACTACAGACTATGTGTGAAATACAAAAGGAAGGTTTTAGATAAAAGGAAACGAGTTCAGATAGAAACTTTGAGCCACAGGAGAGAATAAAGAATTAGAACAGAAAAGGTTGTGGGTGAGTATGAAAGATTTTAGCTGTACAGTGAAATGGTGACCATCTTCCAAGTAGCACATATGGACGGCACTCACAGGACAACAAAGCATAACGTGGAGGGATCAAACAAAGGGAGGCTTTCCAAAGTCTCTTGCATTTTTCTGAAAGCAATAAAGGTACAAAATAACTAGACAGTAATAAAACAAGTATACACATCTGCAATGCACAGGAAAAGAACACTACAAAGCTTTCAAGGGTCTCATTAGAAATGGTTATTCCATCTCAATTTGATACCTAAACATGTCAGAAATACCAACAGATTTTGCCTGAAGGCCTTCGGCACCCAGTGAGCGCAAGCCCCCTGTGACTCCACGCGCTCTTGCCCTTCACAAGCTGCAGTCAGCGGGACTCGGAGTCACCCGGCAGGAGTGTACGTCAGGTTCTATGCCCAATATCTCTCAAAGATTACCTGATGAGTGGTACAGCTTCATTTGGGGAAAGACTTACAGCATGTTGAGAGCTTGATTTTCTGTGGTGTTGCAGGGTCCCTGCTCCAGTAGGAATTGGCTTCCACTCAATCAGTAAGAAACATACAGTCTAACTAAGTTAAAGAGAGCAATAAAGGATGGATCAATGGGAACAGGGAGGTAGAGGGGAAGAGCTTCTAAGGATGGGAACACGGGGGGAGGGGCAAAGGAAGGCAGTAGGGAGGACTAAGACGCAGTGTTCACAGGCACCCAGTTCCTGTGACATCATCACACATCTCAAACAGGTCAAGCACAACCTCCATTTGCTGTCTCTCTGTCTTCCCCATGAGCAAATAGTTTATTAGCCATCGCCACAGACGTCTGTACAAAAGTCAGCCTTGTGCTCTAGCCTCGCTAAGAGGAAACAATACTGTTCACTACGATGCAGTATCTCCCACTGCATCAGGGCCGCACAGCAGGCCATCGCTTCTGAGCCAGGGTTGTTGTGTGCGCTCAGCCAACACCAGGGTTTGCAGGAACTTTAACTTCTAAAAAGAAGCCGCCTACGGCTCAGCTCCTGAGAATGGACTTGGCAAATGGGAGCGTAACAGTCCAAGAAGCCGTGTCTCCTGGGGCTCACCTCCTGATCAGCACAGCAAAACT